CCGCTTTCCATCACCCCGCCCCATTCTCTCCCGCTTCCCTAACCCCACCCCCTTCTCCGGCTTATTCCATCACCCCGCCCACATTATCTCCCGCTTTCTATCACCCCACCCCCTTCTCCTCCATTCCATCACCCCGCCCCATTCTCCCGCTATTACCATCACCCTGCCCCAATTATCCCGATTTCCATCACCCCGCCCCATTCTCCCGCTCTTTTCCATCACCCCGCCCCATTCTCCCGCTTTCCTCAGACCTCCGCCCCCAATTCTTCCCGCTTTCCATCATTCCCGCCCCATTCTCCCTCCTTCCATCACCCCGCCCCATTCTCACGCTTTCCATCACTCCGCCCCATTCTCCCTCCTTCCATCACCCCGCCCCATTCTCCCTCCTTCCATCACCCTGCCCCATTCTCCCGCTTTCCATCACCCCGCCCCATTCTCCCGCTTTCCATCACCCCGCCCCATTCTCCCGCTTTCCATCACCCTGCCCCATTCTCCCGCTTTCCATCACCCCAAGCCATTCTCCCTCTTTCCATCACCCCGCCTCATTCTCCCGCTTTCCATCACCCCGCCCCATTCGCCCGCTTTCCATCACCCCGCCCCATTGTCCCTCTTTCCATCACCCCGCCCCATTCTCCCTCTTTCCATCACCCTGCCCCATTCTCCCTCTTTCCATCACCCCACCCCATTCTCCCGCTTTCAATCACCCCGCCCCATTCTCCCGCTTTCCATCACCCCGCCCCATTCTCCCGCTTTCCATCACCCCGCCCCATTCTCCCGCTTTCCATCAACCTGCCCCATTCTCCCTCTTTCCATCACCCCGCCCTAATCTCCCTCTTTCCATCACCCCGACCCATTCTCCCGCTTTCCATCACCCCGCCCCATTCTCCCTCTTTCCATCAGCCCGCCCAATTCTCACGCTTTCCATCACCCCGTCCCATTCTCCAGCTTTCCATCACCCCGCCCCATTCTCCCTCTTTCCATTCCCCCGCCCCATTCTCCCGCTTACCATGACCCTGCCCCATTCTCCCGCTTTCCATCACACCGCTCCATTCTCCCGCTTTTCATCACCCCGCCCAATTCTCCCTCTTTTCATCACCCCTCCCCATTCTCCCTCTTTCCATCATCTCGCCCCATTCTCCCGCTTTCTATCACCCCACCCCATTCTCCCTCTTTCCATCACCCCGCCCCATTCTCCCGATTTCCATCACCCAGCCCCATTCTCCCGCTTTCCATCACCCCGCCCCATTCTCCCTCTTTCCATCAGCCCGCCCCATTCTCCCTCTTTCCATCACCCCGCCCCATTCTCCCGCTTTCCATCACCCCGCCCCATTCTCCCGCTTTCCATCACCCCGCCCCATTCTCCCGATTTCCATCACCCCTCCCCATTGTCCCACTTTCCATCACCCCGCCCCATTCTCCCTCTTTGCATCAGCCCGCCCCATTCTCCCTCTTTCCATCACCCCGCCCCATTCTCCCGCTTTCCATCACCCCGCCCCATTCTCCCGCTTTCCATCACCCCGCCCCATTCTCCCGCTTTCCATCACCCCGCTCCATTCTCCCGCTTTCCATCACCCCGCCCAATTCTCCCTCTTCCCATTACCCCTCCCCATTCTCCCTCTTTCCATCGTCCCGCCCCATTCTCCCGCTTTCCATCACCCCGCCCCATTCTCCCCCTTTCCATCACCCCGCCCCATTCTCCCACTTTCCATCACCCCGCCCCATTCTCCCGATTTCCATCACCCCTTCCCATTGTCCCACTTTCCATCACCCCGCCCCATTCTCCCCCTTTCCATCACCCCGCCCCATTCTCCCACTTTCCATCACCCCGCCCCATTCTCCCGATTTCCATCACCCCTCCCCATTGTCCCACTTTCCATCACCCCGCCCCATTCTCCCTCTTTCCATCGTCCCGCCCCATTCTCCCGCTTTCCATCACCCCGCCCCATTCTCCTGCTTTCCATCACCCCGCCCCATTCTCCCTCATTCCATCACCCCGCCCCATTCTCTCGCTTTCCATCACCCCGCCCCATTCTCCCGCTTTTCATCACCCCGCCCCATTCTCCCGCTTTCCATCACCCCGTCCCATTCTCCCTCTTTCCATCACCCCGCTCCATTCTCCCGCTTTCCATCACCCCGCCCTATTCTCCCTCTTTCCATCACCCCTCCCTATTCTCCCTCTTTCCATCACCCCGCCCTATTCTCCCGCTTTCCATCACCCCGCCCCATTCTCCCGCTTTCCATCACCCCGCCCCATTCTCCCGCTTTCCATCACCCCGCCCCATTCTCCCGGTTTCCATCACCCGGCCCCATTCTCCCGCTTTCCATCACCCCGCCCCATTCTCCCTCTTTCCATCACCCCGCCCCGTTCTCCCGCTTTCCATCACCCCGCCTTATTCTCCTGCTCTCCATCACCTCGCACCATTCGCCCGCTTTCCATCACCCCTCCCCATTATCCTGCTTTCCATCACCCCGCCCCATTCTCCCTCCTTCTATGACCCCGCCCCATTCTCCCTCCATCCATCACCCAGCCCTATTCTCCCAATTTCCATCACCCCACCCCATTCTCCCGCTTTCCATCACCCCGCCTTACTCTCCCGCTTTCCATCACCTCGCCCCATTCTCCCGCTTTCCATCACCCCGCCCCATTCTCCGCTTTCCATCACACGCCCATTCTCCCGCTTTCCATCACCCCGCACCATTCTCCCGCTTTTCATTATCTCGCCCCATTTTCTCGCTTCCCATCATCTCACCCCATTCTCCCGCTTTCCATCACCCTGCCCTATTCTCCCTCCTTCCATCACCCCACCCCATTCTCCCGCTTTCCATCACCTCGCCCCATTCTCCCGCTTTCCATCACCCCGCCCCATTCTCCCGCTTTCCATCACCCCGCCCCATTCTCCTGCTTTCCATCACCTGCCCCATTCTCCCGCTTTCCATCACCCCACCCCAGTCTCCCGCTTTCCATCACCCCGCCCTATTCTCCCGCTTTCCATCACCCCGCCCCATTCTCCCGCTTTCCATCACCGCGCCCCATTCTCCCGCTTTCCTTCACCCCTCCCCATTCTCCCGCTTTCAATCAACCCGCCCCATTCTCCCGCTTTCAATCACCCCACCCCATTCTCCCGCTTTCCATCACTCCGCCCCATTCTCCCTCCTTCCATCACCCCGCCCCATTCTCCCGCTTTCCATCACCCCGACCCATTCTCCCACTTTCCATCACCCCGCCCAATTCTCTCGATTTCCGTCACCCTGCCCCATTCTCCCTCTTTCCGTCACCCCGTCCCATTCTCCCGCTTTCCATCATCCAGCCCCATTCCCCCGCTTTCCATCACCCCGCCCTATTCTCCCTCTTTCCATCACCCCGCCCCATTCTCCCTCCTTCTATCACCCCGCCCCATTCTACCGCTTTCCATCACCCCGCCCCATTCTCCCTGCTTCCATCACCCCGCCCCATTCCCCCGCTTTCCATCACCCCGCCCCATTCTCCCGCATTCCATCACCCCGCCCCATTCTCCCTGCTTCCATCACCCCGCCCCATTCCCCCGCTTTCCATCACCCCGCCCCATTCTCCCGCATTCCATCACCCCGCCCCATTCTCCCGCTTTCCATCACCCCACCCCATTCTTCCGCATTCCATCACCCCGCCCCATTCTCCCGCTTTCCCTCACCTCGCCCCATTCTCCCGCATTCCATCACCCCGCCCCATTCTCCCGGTTTCCATCACCCCGCCCCCTTCTCCCTCCTTCCATCACCCTGCCCCATTCTCCCTCCTTCCATCACCCCGCCCCTTTCTCCCGCTTTCCATCAGCCTGCCCCATTCTCCCGCTTTCCATCACCCCGCCCCATTCTCCCGCGTTCCATCTCCCCGCCCCATTCTCCCGGTTTCCATAACCCCGCCCCCCTTCTCCCTCCTTCCATCACCCCGCCCCATTCTCCCTCCTTCCATCATCCCGACCCTTTCTCCCGCTTTCCATCAGCCCGCCCCATTCTCCCGCTTTCCATCACCCAGCCCCATTCTCCCGCTCTCCATCACCCCGCCCCGTTCTCCCGCTTTCCATAACCCCGCCCCATTCTCACGCTTTCCATCACCCCGCCCCATTCACCCGCTTTCCATCACCCCGCCCCATTCCGGTCCTCTCCGTCACCCCGCCCCATTCTCCCGCTTTCCATCACCTCGCCCCATTCTCACGCTCTCCATCACCCCGCCCAATTCACCCGCTTTCCATCACCCCGCCCCATTCTCACGCTTTCCATCACCCCACCCCACTCCCGCTTTCCATCACCCCGCCCCATTCTCCCGCTTTCCATCACCTCGCCCCATTCTCACGCTTTCCATCACCCCGCCCCATTCTCCCGCTTTCCATCACCCCGCCCCATTCTCCCTCCTTCCATCACCCCGCCTCATTCTCCCTCCTTCCATCACCCCGCCCCATTCTTCCGCTTTCCATCACCCCGCCCCATTCTCCCGCTTCCCATCACCCCGCCCCATTTTCCCGCTTTCCATCACCCCGCCCCATTCTCCCGCATTCCATCACCCCCCCCCATTCTCCCGCTTTCCATAACTTCGCCCCATTCTTCTGCTTTCCATCACCCCGCCATATTCTCCCACTTTCCATCACCCCGCCCCATTCTCCCTCCTTCCATCACCCGCCCCATTCTCCCTCCTTCCATCACCCCACCCCATTCTCCCTCCTTCCATCACCCCGCCCCATTCTCCCGCTTTCCATCACCACGCCTCATTCTCCCGCTTTCCATCACCCCGCCCCATACTCCCGTTTTCCATCACCCCGCCCCATTCTCCCGCTTTCCATCACCCCGCCCCATTCTCCCGCTTTCCATCACCCCGCCCCTTTCTCCCACTTTCCATCACCCCGCCCCATTCTCTCGCTTTCCATCACCCCGCCCCATTCTCCCGCTTTCCATCACACCGCCCCATTCTCCTGCTTTCCATCACCCCTCTCCGTTCTCCCTCTTTCCATCACCCTGCCCTATTCGCCCTCTTTCCATCACCCCTCCCCATTCTCCCTCTTTCCATCACCCCGCCCCATTCTCCCTCTTTCCATCACCTCGCCCCATCCTCCCTCTTTCCATCACCCCGCACCATTCTCCCGCTTTCCATCACCCCGCACCATTCTCCCGCTTTCCATCACCGCGCCCCATTCTACTGCTTTCCATCACCCCGTCCCATTCTCCCGCTTTCCATCACCCCGCCCAATTTTCCCTCTTTCCATCACCCCGACCCATTCTCCCTCTTTCCATCACCCCGCCCCATTCTCCCCCAATCCATCACTCCTCCCCATTTTCACTCTTTCCATCACCTCGTCCCATTCTCCCGCTTTCCATCACCCCGCCCCATTCTCCCTCTTTCCATCACCCCGCCCCATTCTCCCTCCTTCCATCACCCCGCCCCATTCCCCCGCTTTCCATCACCCCGCCCCATTCTCCCGCATTCCATCACCCCGCCCCATTCTCCCTCCTTCCATCACCCCGCCCCATTCTCCCGCTTTCCATCACCCCACCCCATTCTTCCGCATTCCATCACCCCGCCCCATTCTCCCGCTTTCCATCACCTCGCCCCATTCTCCCGCATTCCATCACCCCGCCCCATTCTCCCGGTTTCCATCACCCCGCCCCCTTCTCCCTCCTTCCATCACCCTGCCCCATTCTCCCTCCTTCCATCACCGCGCCCCTTTCTCCCGCTTTCCATCAGCCTGCCCCATTCTCCCGCTTTCCATCACCCCGCCCCATTCTCCTGCGTTCCATCTCCCCGCCCCATTCTCCCGTTTTCCATAACCCCGCCCCCTTCTCCCTCCTTCCATCACCCCGCCCCATTCTCCCTCCTTCCATCATCCCGCCCCTTTCTCCCGCTTTCCATCAGCCCGCCCCATTCTCCCGCTTTCCATCACCCAGCCCCATTCTCCCACTCTCCATCACCCCGCCCCGGTCTCCCGCTTTCCATAACCCCGCCCCATTCTCACGCTTTCCATCACCCCGCCCCATTCACCCGCTTTCCATCACCCCGCCCCATTCCGCTCCTCTCCGTCACCCCGCCCCATTCTCCCGCTTTCCATCACCTCGCCCCATTCTCACGCTCTCCATCACCCCGCCCAGTTCACCCGCTTTCCATCACCCCGCCCCATTCTCACGCTTTCCATCACCCCACCCCACTCCCGCTTTCCATCACCCCGCCCCATTCTCCCGCTTTCCATCACCTCGCCCCATTCTCACGCTTTCCATCACCCCGCCCCATTCTCCCGCTTTCCATCACCCCGCCCCATTCTCCCTCCTTCCATCACCCCGCCTCATTCTCCCTCCTTCCATCACCCCGCCCCATTCTCCTGCTTTCCATCACCCCGCCCCATTCTCCCGCTTCCCATCACCCCGCCCCATTCTCCCGCTTTCCATCACCCCGCCCCATTCTCCCGCATTCCATCACCCCGCCCCATTCTCCCGCTTTCCATAACCCCGCCCCATTCTCCTGCCTTCCATCACCCCGCCATATTCTCCCACTTTCCATCACTCCGCCCCATTCTCCCTCCTTCCATCACCCGCCCCATTCTCCCTCCTTCCATCACCCCACCCCATTCTCCCTCCTTCCATCACCCCGCCCCATTCTCCCGCTTTCCATCACCACGCCTCATTCTCCCGCTTTCCATCACCCCGCCCCATACTCCCGCTTTCCATCACCCCGCCCCATTCTCCCGCTTTCCATCACCCCGCCCCATTCTCCCCCTTTCCATCACCCCGCCCCTTTCTCTCGCTTTCCATCACCCCACCCCATTCTCCCGCTTTCCATCACACCGCCCCATTCTCCTGCTTTCCATCACCCCTCTCCGTTCTCCCTCTTTCCATCACCCCGCCCCATTCGCCCTCTTTCCATCACCCCTCCCCATTCTCCCTTTTCCATCACCCCGCCCCATTCTCCCTCTTTCCATCACCTCGCCCCATCCTCCCTCTTTCCATCACCCCGCACCATTCTCCCGCTTTCCATCACCCCGCACCATTCTCCCGCTTTCCATCACCGCGCCCCATTCTACTGCTTTCCATCACCCCGTCCCATTCTCCCGCTTTCCATCACCCCGCCCAATTTTCCCTCTTTCCATCACCCCGACCCATTCTCCCTCTTTCCATCACCCCGCCCCATTTTCCCCCAATCCATCACCCCTCCCCATTTTCACTCTTTCCATCACCCCGTCCCATTCTCCCGCTTTCCATCACCCCGCCCCATTCTCCCTTTTTCCATCACCCCGCCCCATTCTCCCCCAATCCATCACCCCACCCCATTTTCACTCTTTCCATCACCCCGTCCCATTCTCCCGCTTTCCATCACCCCGCCCCATTCTCCCGCTTTCCATCACCCTGCTCCATTCTCCCACTTTCCAACACCCCACCCAACTCTCCCTCTTTCCATCACCCCTCCCCATTCTCCCTCTTTCCATCACCCAGCCCCATTCTCCCGCGTTCCATCACCCCGCCTCATTCTCCCTCTTTCCATCATCGCGCCCCATTCTCCCTCTTTCCATCACCCCACCCCATTCTTCCGCTTTCCATCACCCCGCCCCATGCTCCCGCTTTCCATCACCCCGCTCCATTCTCTCGCTTTCCATCACCACGCCCCATTCTCCCGCTTTCCATCACCCTGCCCCATTCTCCCGCTTTCCATCACTCCGCCCCATTCTCCCGCTTTCCATCACCCCGCCCCATTCTCCCGCTTTCCATCACCCCGCCCCATTCTTCTCCTTCCATCACCCCGCCTCATTCTACCTCCTTCCATCACCCCGCCCCATTCTCCCGCTTTCCATCACCCCGCCCCATTCTCCCGCTTTCCATCACCCCGCCCCATTCTCCCGCTTTCCATCACCACGCCCCATTCTCCCGCTTTCCATCACCCCGCCCCATTCTCCCTCCTTCCATCACCCTGCCCCATTCTCCCGCTTTCCGTCACCCCGCCCCATTCTCCCGCTTTCCATCACCTCGCCCCATTCTTCTGCTTTCCATCAACCCGCCCCATTCTCCCGCTTTCAATCACCCCGCCCCATTCACCCGCATTCTATAACCCGCCCCATTCTCCCGCTTTCCATCACCCCGCCCCGTTCTCCGGCTTTCCATCACCCCGCCCCATCCTCCCGCTTTTCATCACCCCGCCCCATTCTCCCGCTTTCCAACACCCCGCCCCGTTCTCCCGCTTTCCATCACCCCGCCCCATTCTCCCGCTTTCCATCACCCCGCCCCATTCTCCCGCTTTCCATCACTCCGCCCCATTCTCCCGCTTTCCATCACCCCGCCCCATTCTCCCGCTTTCCATCAACCCGCCCCATTCTCCCTCCTTCCATCACCCCGCCTCATTCTCCCTCCTTCCATCACCCCGCCCCATTCTCCCGCTTTCCATCACCCCGCCCTATTCTCCTGCTTTCCATCACCCAGCCCCATTCTCGCGCTTTCCATCACCCCGCCCCATTTTCCCGCTTTCCATCACCCCGCCCCATTCTCCCGCTTTCCATCACCCTGCCCCAATCTCCTGCTTTCCATCATCCCGCCCCATTCTCCCTCCTTCCATCACCCCGCCCCATTCTCCCGCTTTCCATCACCCCGCCCCATTCTCCCGCTTTCCATAACCCCGCCCCATTCTCCCTCCTTTCATCACCCGCCCCATTCCCCCTCCTTCCATCACCCCGCCCCATTCTCCCTCCTTCCATCACCCCGCCCCATTCTCCCACTTTCCATCGGCCCGCCCCATTCTCCCGCTTTCCATCACCCCGCCTCATTCTCTTGCTTTCCATCACCCCGCCCCATTCTCCCGCTTTCCATCACCCTGCCCCATTCTCCCGCTTTCCATCAGCCCACCCCATTCTCCCGCTTTCCATCACCCCGCCCCATTCTCCCGCTTTCCATCACCCTGCCCCATTCTCCCTTCTTCCATCACCCCGCCTCATTCTACCTCCTTCCATCACCCCTGTTAAAGTCGCAGTAGGCTCCAATGTGCCTAAAACGAAAGATAGAGTGCACAGTCGGATTTCTGCACAGTGGCTTCAAACGTTCATAGCGTTTTGGTCACAGCTTCAAATGACTTGATTCAACTTGGATCTGGAGCATCTTATTGTCGTCTACAATAGGCAATTTAGATCGCACAATTTAACCAAGTATTGACGACACAGGGTTGGTTTGAACGAACGGCACTATGGCAGCCACTATAGTCTTAGAACACAAGATAGGAAGAGTTAGGAAGAGTTACGAGTTGGGAATGACTCCCAGCTCCTACAAACCCCAAGAGCCGAGTTACAGTGATGTGGAACAGTGCCACACTGTCCCCAACCACGAAGGGTCTCGAAACTACCCTTCACTAGGGCCTACACCAAGTGAAATGTTACACTACACAAAGTAATGTAACTATCTTCAATATCTTGAGGTGTACCCTTTTGGCGAGCTTTGAAATCACTTGTGGATTGACACCAAGGCTCGGCTCTTCATCACAAACTCATCCTTGAGTTCTTGATGGGTCTGCTGCACACACCTGCGACACATCGAACGTTCGACACAGGACAAAAGAGAAACCGCGCACGACAAAATAGAAACCGCGCGCGAGACACAAACGACCGCGTAACACGCGTCTAGCCATAACTCGCTATTGACTCGACACATACACTCGACATCATGACTCAACATTCACACACAATTATAAGCATTAAATATATATTATCCCATGCCCTCATGCCATTTCATAGACACACACACATGCACGCACACGGACAACAAGCCGAGTGCAAACCATAGGGTTGCACCAACAAACTCCCCCTCGGATTGTTGGCCTTAGGATATGTTGCTCTCTCAGTTCAGAGCCATCCCAGCCAGCTTGCAACACTTCCAATGCTGCTGCTCCACCAGCCTCTTGGTCATCATGTCAGCCGGCTGCCCCGTGGTCTTCACGTAGCGCAACTCAACTTCACCCGCGGTTACCATGCTCCTCGTCCAATGCCACTTCACCCTCATGTGCTTCGTGAGTCCATGCAACACAGGGTTCTTAGCAAGAGCAATGGCACCCTGGCTGTCACAATATAGTGGGGTAGGTCCTTGCTGCTCCTCCCCCAATTCAGCCAACAAACGCCGCTGCCACACAATCTCCCGTACGGCACGGAAGAGTGCCATGTACTCGGACTCCACCGAGCTCAAAGCTTGGTCAACCTGCTTCTTGCTCTCCCAAGCAGTTGGGCCTCCACCAACACAGCATATGAAGCCTCCCACACTCTGCCACTACCATCATCAAACCCCTCTGGCTGCGCCATAAAAATCTCCTCCTCAAGGATGCCGTTGAGGAATGCCGTCATAATGTCCATTTGCTTCACCACCCATCCTTTGATGGCGGCTCCCGCGAATAGGGTTCGCAGCGTCCTCGGCTTCACCACAGGGGCAAACAGCTCCTTGAAGTCCACCTTCTCCTTCTGCTGGTACCCCTTGGCTACAAGCCTAGACTTGTAACGCTCGATCTTGCCGTCGGCATCCGACTTGATTTTGAAGAGCCACTTGGACGTTATCGCCGTACGCCCCTCCGGTAGCTCCACCAATTCAAACGTGTCATTCTCCTCGATGCTCTTCAGCTCACTCTCCATGGCCTTCTTCCACTCCTCAGCATCACTACTCTCCAAAGCCTCCTTGAGAGTTGCTGGTTCTCCCGGCATCTCCACCGGAGAGAAGAACGGGAAGGCACACTCCTCGTAGTCACTCTCCTCATCGTCTCCGACCATCATTGCCGCTCCGGCCAGGGCTGTCTTGCCTTGCTTTCCAAGTGCATCATAGGTCAGCCTATTAGGGGGTTGAATTCTCCTCTTCCCCCTTCCTTCCTCCTCAGCTGCAGGGACTTGAAGGCCTTGGCGTTGCTGCGGTGTGGCTCGATTCTGTGGAGCACTCGTGGTACGGGAAGGGAGTGACGGTGCACGTTTGCTCACTTGCTGCACCTCCTCCTCTTCTTCCTCTGCATCAGTGGCCTCCTCTCCCCCATTCACAAGGGAGGATTGCCTCGTGGTTGTGCTGCCGCTGCTCAGCTCCAAAGGCAGCTCCACATGCTCCAAACCGGAACTCTTCACCTCCCCAAACCGCACGCCTATCTTCGCCTCATTCTCCGCCTTCCAATCCTTGTACATGAAGTTCTCCATGAACTTGCAGTCCCTGCTCACCAAGAACTTCTTGGTGAATGGGTCCCAAAGAAGCCATCCCTTGCTGTTTTGAGCCATGCCCAAGTGCACGGCCCACACCGCCTTGGCACCAAGCTTGTTGTGCCGAAGATGCTTAGGCACAAGCGCCATTGCTGAAGTTGGATTCGAAAATGCCGCGCTCGCAATAGCGCCCCACATACTCTCTCCGTAGTCCTCCTCCGCTGTTGCCTCGGGGTTCTCCTCACCCTTTTGCTGCTCCTTGGTTGCTGCACCACTCTCCTTAGGCTCACTAAACTTGCTGGTCCCTCCAAGATTGCACTTCTTGGACTCCTTCTCCTTAGCGCGACCGTCCGCGCAATCGCCGCTACCAACCGCTCCACCTTTAGTGCTGACGCTTGCTGCCACTTGCCTCTCCTTAGGCATTGGGACCACAGGGATCTGCCACATCTCGTTGTAGACATCTCTGTCCTCATGAAGGTCCCGAAGAATCCGATCACCAAGCCTTGCGGTGTAGGTCTTGGCTCCCTTCGAGTTAGTGTCCATGCCGGCCTTTGCCAACCGCCGCACGGAAATCAGGTTCGCAGCAAGGCTGGGCACCCAAAGCACGTTCTTGAGGCCCACCATCTTCCCATCAGCACCCTTGAACATGGCCTTCCCCATGCCTTTTACCTCTGCTCGCTGCCCCAAAGCCGATGTGACATGCTTCACCGATGACGGTTCAAGTTCGGTGAGCAAGTCCGGGCGAGGTGTCATGCTATAGGTAGCGCCACTGTCGATCACCCAATAGTCCAGGGGGTGTAGGGTCACCTTCCCTACAGCTGCTGGCTCCTCAAGGTCTTCATCCTTCTCTGGACCAGCCGGTACTTGCGTCGACACGAAGTAGAATAGGCCCGGGTACCGATCGCCGCTCGGGTCCTTGTCGTTATCTTCGCTCTTCACATTTGCAGCACCGCCACGGCCTCCACGGCCTCTTCCTCTCCCTCCTCCTGCTCCTTTACACTCTTGGCCTTGAGCAGGGGTCCATCCTTCAGGGAGTTTGAAGCAATCGCGCCACATATGTCCGCTCTTGCCGCAATAATGACATTCGCCGTCGAATCGACCGCGACCGCGTCCGTAGCTCTTGTCGTCGCTGCCGTAACTGCCGTTCCCGCGGCCTCCACTGAAGTTGCCGCCACCAGATCTTCCTCCCCCTCGTCCTCTGCCTCTTCCTCGGCCATATCCACGGCCGACGCTAGCTGCCCCAGCCCCATCCGCACTCGCCAACTCACGGCGGCGGAAGTCCTCTTGTAGGATCGCGCGCTTCACGCCTTCAAGCGAGAGACGGGGCAGGTCACGGTTCAAATTGATAGACCAGGCAAGCTCTTGGACAAGGCAAGCTCCTGGATCAGGCAAGCTCCTCGACCGCTCAAGCTCCTTGACCAGGCATGCTCGTGGACCAGGCACGCTCCTCGACCACGCAAGCTCTTGGATCAGGCATGCTTCTGGACCAAGCAAGCTCCTGGACCAGGCAAGCTCCTGGACCACGCAAGCTCTTAGACCAGCCACGCTCCTCGACCAGGCAAGCTCTCGGACCAGGCAAGCTCTTGGACCAGGCAAGCTCCTGGACAAGGCCAGCTCCTACACAAGGCAAGCTCGTGGACCAGGCCCGCTCCTGGACTAGGCAAGCTCCTGGACCAGGCAAGCTCCTGGAACAGGCAAGGTCCTAGACCAGGCAAGCTCCTGGACCAGGCAAGCTTCTAGACCAGGCAAGCTCAGGGACCAGGCAAGCTCCTGGATCAGGCAAGCTCCTGGACCATGCAAGCTCCTAGACTAGGCAAGCTCCTGGACCAGGCAAGCTCTTGGACCAGGCGGGCTCGTGGACCAGGTACGCTCCTGGACCGGGCAAGATCCTGGACCTGGCAAGCTCCTGGACCATGCAAGCTCTTGGACCATGCACGCTCCTGGACCAGACAAGCTCTTGGACCAGGCAGGCCCGTGGACCAGGCAAGCTCTTGGACCAGGCAAGCTCCTCCACCACGCAAGCTCCTGGACCAGGCACGCTCGTGGACCAGGCACGCTCCTGGACTAGGCAAGCTCTTGGATTAGGCACGCTTCTGGACCAAGCAAGCTCCTGGACCAGGCAAGCTCCTTGACCACGCAAGCTCTTGTTGCAGGCACGCTCCTCGACCAGGCAAGCTCTTGGACCAGGCAGGCTTCTGGACCAAGCAAGCTCCTAGATCAGGCAAGCTCCTGGACCAGGCACGCTCCTGGACCAGGCAAGCTCCTAGACCTGGCAAGCTAATGGACCAGGAAAGCTCCTGGACCGGGCAAGCCCCTTGACCAGGCACGCTCGTGGACCAGGCACACTCTTCGTCCAGGCAAGCTCTTGGACCAGGCAGGCTCGTGGACCAAGCACACTCTTGGACCAAGCAAGCTCTTGGACCACGCAAGCTCCTGAACAAGGCACGCTCTTGGACCACGCAGGCTCC